TATAACTTATTTATTTATAATAGAATGAATAAAGTAAGTGTTCCTAAGTATCTGAATAATAATACCATTAATTATAATTGATTGAGAGCGATGTAGAAATGCAGATCGATACCTAGTAAAATATTTTGTAAAATAAATTAATTTATACCTTTAAATTCCCAAAAGGACACCCTGATAATAATAAAATAAATTTTATATGATAGTTTATTAAAAAGCTTTGTTGTCTACTGACTGCTTTCATCAGATCGATACAGTTATTCACTATGCGTTGATTGAAAACTTTCAGGTGAATTCAAATTCAATTTAATTTTTAAATTATCGAAAAATACCTTTGTTTGCTTTAAAAGTTTTTACTGCTTTTTGCAATTACAATTCGAAAAAGATTATTAAAAGTGCATGTTTGGAGCGCGGCGCTATATGGGTGTGAAACATGGACGGTGGGCGCGGCAGAAAAGAAAAGGTTAGAAATGAAGAGTTATTGGAAAGAATAGGAGAGCAGAGGACTCTATAGAAGTCAATAAAAAATAGGCGAGATAGGTTGGTAGGACATCTTCTCAGACATGAAGGGCTAGTCAGAGATTAGAGGCAGAAACAGGAGTTAAAAGAAGTAGAGGTAGACGTAGATTAGACTACTGTTCGCAAATAGTTAAGGATGTGGGATGTTCTAGTTTTAGGGAGATGCGAAAATTAGGTCAGGAAAGGAAAAAGTGCGCGTCCAACCAGTCTTAGGTCTGACTGCATTTGAATTTTAACTTGGTTAGGTGTCTTTTTTACTGTTATCAATGAAAACTATTGATGTTAGTATAAAATTTGTTGTAAAAGTAGTTCATTGAAGTATTCCAACAGAACACCGCAATTACCAGGTTTTCATTAAATTGGAAAATCTGAAATTACACAATGATGTCTACCTTAAAATTAGACTAAGTAAGTACATATTAATCAGATAAGTTAACCATCCTTAACTACAGACTAGAGCTAGGCCATCTAGACGACAACTACGAAATGAAAGTTTCCTTCGATTTTATACTGATCGTGAGTTCTTTTATATCAAAAGGAGGTCTGTTTGTGGAAATCAAGAACGTTTTCAACAGAGCTTTCGATTCTAAGTCGGTTACTATACAATCGATATATCTAATGGAATTCATCTCCGTTAGATGGAATTAATAAATTAATCGATAAAATATTCAATCAAAGGTGATTCATTACTTCTCCTTTAGTTAATATGAACATAACACAAAATTTTAACTCAAACAAAAAGGAATAAAAATACGTATAAAAACGTAGAATGAATATACAAAATCCACAAGCTAAAATTGGAAAATAAAATCAAACGCAGTAAAAATTAATAGATTATTATATAACTTTATTTTAGTTTCCACTAGCTACATAAGACTAAATTTATATTTTCGAAGTTTCTAACATTCACATAATTCTTCCTACTTGACCTCGGGGACCCCTCTTGTTTTTCTTTACCCTGCTGGTCTGTTCGACACTCGACACCCTCAGTTTACTATCACACCATCAGAACAATCATTTTCGTTAATAATATGAGAAGAAAGTCTTTGGTCGAATTTTCTTGACGTATGCGTCTTTTTGAGTTTTTATTTTCATTGAGGTTTAAAGTCATTTTGGCACTTTTCAGAATGAAATTGTTAATAATAAGTCATATGCATATTGAAATCGCAACATAATTGCAATAATGCTTAAATTATAAATGGTGATTAAGAATTCTTTCCCAGGAGTATAAATACTAAAGAAAAGTAAGCAAATTTGGGGCAAAGGTTCTTTTTATTAAATTTTACAATCTACACACCAACGTTTCTCCTTAATGTGTTAGACTTCCTCAGGGTAAGATTATGAAGACAAAAACTCGATTTTTTATCGGTGCCGCCAATTACATTCCTAAAATACTTGTCAAAAAAATCTATATTTAAGTATTTAAGGAATATAATTATTTTATTAGCTAAGGATGAGAATATTTATTTGATTTTAAAATTTCACCCTGAGGAAGCCTAACACCTTAAGGCAAAACGTTTGTGCGCAGATTGTAAAATTTAATTAAAAGAATCTTCTGCCCAGGTTTGCTTGTTTTTTCTTAAATCTTAAATTATATCATATTCTATGGATATCAAATATGAAACTAATTTTTCTTCCAGTTTGCTCAGCATTTCTTACAATGTACTACTACTAATGTCTAATGCTTTTGTTCTTTCTAAGTAATAATCTAATAAGTTGGTGTCGTGTTATTCACATACAAAGCATAATTAATAGACTTGATGGTAAATATAGCGGCCTTAAACGGTATGTTTGGACAAGAAGGTTTACTTCTCGATTAAAGTATTTGAGTACCTACTTGTTTCTTGTTCCGGACCAAACATTAAACGCCAAACAAAAGCCAATTTGTGGTATCGCAGTAGGTCATTTTCGAGGATGTGGTGTGCTAACAACCTAAGTACACAAAATTTCTCATTTTGGAACACATCTGATTTGTTTTGAGAGGGGTTGTTTAAGATATATACCTTGGCACACGTTAGTGAATATTAAACGAACACTAACAGTTAACCGATAGCAATTATGAACATCGTGAGGTATTTAGTGGTTTTGTTCATCACTTTCGCAGGGGCCTTAACGGTAAGTTATTTAAACAAAAATGGAAAGTTCGTCGGAAAAAACATGTCTTTTTCAGGTACCAGTTGCACAAGAAAGTGAAAACTTAACAGATGACGTAGATTACTCACAGGTAAGTTAAATGTTTTCAATAAAAATTGTTTTTATTTTCAAATAATAATAATATAATTAATTTATGAATCGGTAAAACCGGAATTTGTTACATTTTCCATAGAGTTGCTCCAAATATAGTAATGATGCCAATATAACCTAAAAAAGGGGACGAGCGTGTATTAATGTATACGCGTAAGAAGTGAAGTTTCTTTAGATTGTATATTATAGAATTATTTAAAAAAAAATTGGGTTAAACTATTGTATTAGTTAGCCAATTGCTAAACATCAGAAAAATACAATTTTATTACGAGCGGACGAATATGGAATTTTGATTTAGTTTTGTTAAAAACTACGCATACACCATACAAAACTTCGTAAAGGAATTACAAATCAAAACAAACAAACACAAACGCATATATGCAATACGTATTTTGAGGTT